AAACCAAAGTCCATATTGTAAACAAGTGAGACTGTTTTTCTAATTTACATGTAAACATATAGTAGCTATAAATACTGAAATGACATTGTTAATTACATACCAAATTGAGCATTGAGTGCTAGGTGGCTGTTTGATAATTGTAGACTCAAGTCAGTAAGTAATAAGCTGCTTTGTTCCTTTTAGAGAAACTGTGAACCTCATAATTTACAAGCCTGAGAAAAATCTTCCTGAGATGGAAAAGTGCTCTGCACATTGCAGCTCTTCAGCCACATTGTCCCAGCAGCAGCCTGTTCTACTCAGTCCTGTGGCGCTCAGATTTAGGGCTGAGATACTGTGGTAACTTAGACAAGCCCAGCAAGCCCTCAGGTGTCCCACTGAATAGACCCCTTTTTGCCCAGCAGCAGAAACTGCACCAGGGGAGAGGCAGCAAACAAAATTCATTTTGAGCATCTCTTGTCAATTCAAGTTGCTCTGCAATATCCTATTGCAGAACTGATTTTTTTTTTTCTTTGAAGTGAACTGGATTTCTTCCTTGGCACAAATTGGCACCTGTGGCTATTTACTCATATGTCAGCTTAGTATTTTGTTCTGTTTTCCATGATGGAATTTTTCATGAGGCCTGAGGAAACTGGAGGTTTTCCAGACATGACAGTAAAAGTGAAATGCTATTTCAGTAAATGTGAAAAAGATTGATAAATTCAGAAGACATTTTCTTACATACCCATTGGAGCTCAGTTTCCATTTTATCTTCTATTCTTATAAAATTTTGAACAAATAAGTGTTTTCTCCTAAGTATTTATTGCAGAGCTACTAAGGTCAGAACTGGCTTGACTTGGTTTGTTGCAGGATATTTATGCTGTGTCATACCAGCTATTTTCTATATGACACTCCAGGATAATGCAATCACTTGGAAAGCAATCAAGGCAGTCTCTTTGGAAATTTGAAATTCATGGATTTTGTCTTCTTAAATAGCCTTAACTACAAAGTCTGTTTTGCAAAACAACATATACCCCCTCTCCTCTCTCCCAAGAACTTAGACTTTTAATTATTTGAGTCATTCCAGGAATTCAAGTCTGTAGCTTTTCTGGAACACTTTAAAAACAGCCAATGTATGCTAAACCCCGATCATCATATGAGAATTTTTCCATGGCAAGGATTTCTTATAATTTGTCAACAGGAAGTTCTTTTACAATGAGATATGAATAGTGACCTGAATTTCTTATGATTCTGAAACTTGTGCTTTGCCTGCTAATGTGTTTTGGCTCAGCTGATGGAAGTATCACAGCCAAGTCTGCAGCTGAATCATATCAGTGGAGGCAGCGGTGTGAGCAGAGCACTGCTGAATGCCAGAAAGCCTTGGCTGGCAGGGGGCTGCTGGAAACTCATGCCACACATGGTCCATCACAGCAGCTTCAGGGCTGCTCTGGCTCAGGCCGGTGCTCATTGCCTCCTGGCAGCCTCAGGAGATCCACACAGACATTTTTGCTGCCTCCTGCTGTCTCAAGTAGTCACAACACACCTGGGACCACCCCAAGGATGAGAACCTGAAATCACCAGCAGCAAAATCACTGTGCCTTTCCCTGCAAAATATAAGAAACTCAATTGAGTGGGTATTTGGTTTGAACCACAAGCCACAAACACAAGTGTGAAATGGACCATGTCTTCAGAGCATTTACAAGGCTTCTAAAACTGATTTTGACTGTAGATAAGTCACTACATAGTAATACTTCTACTGAGTAAGATCAGACTTGAAAAGGGATTATGTATTTTTTTGCCTTTACTATTTCTAGCCCAATGTACTACTCATGCACTTCCACAGCATCTGCTGTTTGAATGTATCAGTCAAGTAAATCTCACAATACTTGGGTAAATCTTAATCCATTAATGAATGCAAAGCCAAGGCACAAAGAAGTGATTTATATAATTGTGAATACTAATGAGTACGTGCTTCAAGATGATTACATTCCATGCACTTATAAACTCTTCTGAAGACATAAACTGTTAAGAAATAAAATGAGCTTTGTTTCCCTTACTAATTTTTTTTGAGAAATGAACTTGAATATTCAATTATGGGTTTATTATTCTGTGAATCAGTTTACAGTGATCAGTGGATATAATTTTTAGTATGAAAATGTTATTCGTGCATATTACAGTTCCAGGCATATATTATCCTTTCATGAAAACATTTCAATCTTCAGGTCTTTATGCAAAAGATTGGCCCGTGGGCTCTGCACAGGATGTAAATTAAGTTCTTGTTTGGTTAAATCTCATTACCCTGTAGGGTACCAATCTTGCTTAGTGACAGTGGAAGCTAAAAATTGCAAGCAGGACAGTCCACTTGAAATGGGGCCAGGAAGGGTCAATTTCTAAACAGCAAGTCGAGGTTTGAACTAGATTTTAATAGTATGCCTAAGAATGTTCAGTTAAACACAGAAGCTGTCTCCTCCATAGCTGCTATCATTGCTTTTAAATATCATGAAATTGAGAAAAGCTCTTCTTTTTTAAGTACAAGTCTTTATTAATCATATGTAAAGATGCTGCAATCACTTTAACCCAGCCTTTAGTCAGTCTGAAGCTTAATTCCCATTTGACCCTTCCTCTTTCTCCTCTCATATTCTATCAATATTAATGGTTCAATAGAGAATTTCAGTGAAGAGCAAAACACCACACAGGCTATCAAAACAAAACCACCTCAAGTCAATACAAACTAAAGCTTTTTGAATATTACCAAAATACTGTTCCTTTATTGTGGACTTACTGAGCACATGAGAGAGACTAAAAAGGCATATGCTGACACTACTGAATATGAACTACTGCTCTTCCTTCTGACAGGATTAGCTAAATACTTAAATGATAAGAACACTCCCCTGTATTTTTCCTATATTCAGAAAATGTGCACAGAAAAGTCACTCTTTGATCTATTTCACTAGCTTCAGTTACTGTAGCAGGCTTTTGTATATATAAAAATTTTATTTTTAGCAGTCTTTGGCATCTCCTTAGCTTTCCTTTGATGTATAAAGGTTTTATGATCAATAATATCTAAAAGCAGCTGGTGTTATTGCAATTGTTCTGAGTCAAGGATAAAACCCAACAAAAGTAATGCAACACTGGTGAAAATGATACAGCTTTTGGCTGTTCAGAAAATGTAATTATCTCAGTAAATGTATGTGGTTTTTAGTAATGAGATTCAACATTTCAGACAGATTAATTTTAATAACATATTTTCACAGTGGTTCTATTAGATATTTTAAATCTATTTAAATCAGACCTCAACACTTATCTAATAGATAAATACCTCACTCCCTCAATAGGTTTTAGATGAAGGGACTCAGCACTCCACACAGACTCCTAATGAATTTGAAGGGGGAAAAGGATAAAACCAGGTCTGGAGATAGCCTGGGGGCAACACGCCAGTGTCTGAGGGAGGGTGTGCTGGGGAGCTCCTTTCATCTGTTGTCTCATGGAGACTGGGGATGGATTTCCATGTGGCAGCAGTGACACGAGGGATATTGATGAGCTGGAAACTCCAGAAGTGCCTGAGAATGATCACATGGAAGGTCCTGCTTGACTGACCCAATGTCCTTCTGTGACAAGACAACCTGCAGAGAGGACGAGGGGAAGGCTGTGGATGTTGCCTTCTAGACTCAGTAAAGCTTTTCCAGTGTTTTCCACACTATTCTCCTGCAGAAACTGGCTGCTCATGGCTTGGATGGGTGCACTCTTCACTGTTAAAAACTGTCTGGATGGCTGAGCCCAGAGTGCTGGTGGATGGTGCTGCATCCATTTAGCACCCAGTCCCAAACAGTGTTCCCTAGGGAGCAGTGTTGGGGCAGTTCTGTTTACTATCTTTATCAATGACCAGGATGAGGGGATCAAGGACACCCTCAGTCTGCAGAAGACACCAAGCTGGGCAGGAGTGTGATCTGCTGGAGGGCAGGAGCGCCCTGAACAGGCTGGATGGATGGGCCAAGGCCAATGGTGTGAGGGTCAACAAGGACAAGCAGAAGTCCCCTCAGTAGTGTCTGACCATGAGGCAAGTGTGCCCAAGGCCAGTGGCAGCCTGGCCTGTGTCAGCAGCAGTGTGGTCAGCTGGGTCAGTGACCTTCCCCTGTACTCAATACTGGTGAGGCCACAGCTCCACTGGTGTGTCCAGTTCTGGGCCCTCCATTCAGGAAGGACAGGGAGGGTACTGTGGAGTGTTACTGCTCTCTGCAGCTACCCCAGAGGGGCTTCTGGAGAGGTGAGAGTCGCTCTCCCAAGTCACAAGCAACAGGAGAGGAAATGGCTGCAAGTTGTGCCAGGGGAAGTTGAGATATTAGGAAAAATTTCTTCACCAGAAGGGTTGTCAGGCAGCCGAACAGGCTGCTCAGGGAAGTGGTTGAGTCACTGTCCCTGGAGGTCTTTAGAAGACAAAGCAGCTCACAGCTTAATCCCAGCACGGTCCAGTGTATGCTGATATTGTTTTTGGGGCATGAATACTAAAATTACATGTTCAGAAAACAGCTTTAACTGTGAATTTACAGAAGCACAATCGAAACCCTCCATTTGAATTCCCACAGCTCCCCCATGCCAAATAATACATATCTGCATGATGAGGCACATTAACTCATCTGACATCGAACAGTTTTTTCCTTGGATTAGTTTGAGTAGCGAATCAATATCCTGATCTGGTTCAGCACACAGACACAAAAACGTCTGTGTTAATGGAAGTGAGCAGCTCAGAAAATGAAAATGCTTTTGATTGACCTCTACCCATTTAAAGCATATGTGAAACTACCTCAGGGATGTTATACACAGGCTGTCAGAACACATGGCCATTAACCACCAGTCCACTGGGGCTCTGGTCTCTCCCTTTCTGGGATATTTTCTTGTATTATCCAATTATTGTTTTACATCAGAATTACCTATTAAAGTGTGCATTCACATTGTGGTCAAAGCTTACATACTGTAAGATATGATTTACTGTAAAGCCCTGAAGAATTTTGACATATCCACAGTAATCTATTTCAAAAATTTATTTTCCTAAACATGGCATTTTGTAAATTTTTAATATATACCCTTTACAGTACTGATGCAGTGTAATATTCACAAATATTTTCAAAGTGTTGGCTATTATGTCAGCAAACACCATTAATGACTGTTTTCATTTACTAATAACATGTAAAATCACAATTCAGTGGGCACTTTAGCCTGGTAATACCACAGTTGTATGAAACACTGATCTGCTACTGTATTGGTAACATTTATTTCATTTTGCAGACTAATTATTATAGCTGATGTGGACAAAGCTCTTTTTGCTCCAGTTGAAAAAGGCTATGAATAAACCATGTCATGTTTAGATACAAAAAATAGGTCAATGGCTACTGAGATGATGCTTCCAAAAGCAGAACCTTCCCTACAGCACAGCTTTAGGAAAACACTTCCTCTGACAGCATACATTCTTTTTAACAGAATCCTCTTAGTAGGTACTGGATAAAAAAAGTAATTTAACTGTATAAATGGACAGAGAGAAGATAGTGAGGAATGAGACTTCGTTTAATTTAAAAATGGCATAGCATTTTAGACTTCACTTGAACCAAGCTCCTTCCAATTGCTGTTACCTACCTGGAGGCCACAAAATCAACCCTCAGGCAAGTTATTTTCAGTGCTTTGGTGAAGCTGGTGAGAAGAGCACATTTTTTTGGAAGAACCAGGAGAAAGCAGTGCATGCTTGTAGTAATGTCATTCTTCATACAGGAGCTCCCAGTTTTGTCTTCTACCAAGATTAAATGACAGGCAGCACATTTGTTAATTGCTCAGCAACTAAAACATTTACCAAATATGGATCAGAGGAGTTCTTGTCCAAGGGAGGTGCATTCGTCTTAATTAAAAAAAAGAAAATCTAAGAAGATGCTGTTGTATTAGCGGTTTATACAAAATAATAACTTACATATTTATCAAAAATAGCAGATAATCACACTGAAGAGAGGATTATTCTAAACTGATTGTATACATACTCTCAAATCAAACTTGTTCCTTCACCTATATTGTATTACTTATGGATAGCTACTGCCCCAGACAGGCAACTGCTGCAAAATGAGGAATTATTGTCTTTATGTACCAATATAGCTGGTGGAGACATCATTCTGAGACCAGCGTTCAGGTGCAGCACACTGAATCTCATATTATTTAGCAGCCCTAACTCTATAGTAAAAACAGGACACTCATTACTCATTCCATCTGACATGAACAAGGAACAGCTTTTAAAAGTTTTCTTTGTTGTGTTTCAGTGCAGAAACATTTTAGATATTCTTGGAATAAAGGGTAAAGAAAATCTACATAGTGATTATAAATTAAGACCAGTGTTGACTTTTATTTACATAGTTTAACAAACAAATTAAAGTAATTATTGCATCAATCATTCAGATTTTGAACATTACTAAAAACTACAAGTTTATAGCATACAGTGTTGCATTCTTCATGGAGCTGTGATTATTGTTCTACATTTTTCTTTCTCCCACGAAGCCACCTCAGAGCTCTCACCAGTGCTACTTGTCCCATGAGGAATGTGATCCTAAAGTTACGTTTATACCAATCTCTAGGATTCCAAAGCCAAGAAAATCATCAGCACACAGAGCAAGAACAGGAAAAACATACACAATTATATTAAAATATCCTTTGGCATTGACAAATGCTATTTCATTGATGACCTGCATTTTCTGTTCTTCGTGGCAACCCTTTTCCAGCCTAATAAGAGTTAAAAAACCTATGAAAAAGTCTATGTGTATATCCACATTCAGGAACAGATTACACATGGATTACAGGGTTGCAACTGCATTTGAAATCAGGTGAGATAAAATAGTTAAAACCATGTCTCATGTTTCAGAAGTAAAGCAGATCACCAAGCTATGTGGACTACCCACCAGTGCTGTGCTTCAGGTAAGATTTGTTTGTGTGGGGATGAAGATGCCTGTGTTAAAAAGGGCAGAGTTGGTCTCATACAAGGGTGGCAAAAATAAAATCAAATCACACTTCAAAGGCTAATTGTATAACCCAACATCACCCTTCTACTGCAGTATCTTTTAAAGATAATGCCTTTAATATTGTCAAAGTTAGTCTTTATATCTTTAACTAATTTAATTTTTATGAATCATGCATGACTTCTGGAACCAATTAAAATTATTCACAGTATAGTCTGCATCAGCCCTTTCTAACCTCTGCAAACTTGCTTCAAGTTCTTTGCCCCTGTTACAAATTAAAATAGTATCAAAATTTTTTCTAGTTTCTAATAAGGATCTCACTCCCATGTTGTAAAATGCTCACAAGAAGCAATAGGATACATAGAATTCTAGACTAGAACACTGGGATTTAGGTCTTCTCCTGAGATGTCGGGGGCAAACCTTGCATGCACAGATCTAACATAAGCCTGAGATACCAACCCCTCAGTGAGGACAGCAGCCAAATTCACACTGACAGGCAGCACTGAGCTACCCCTTCAATTGTCATGTTCAATAAAAGTATCATGCTAACAGTGAAAATGTTTCTTTTTCCCTTTCACATTTAATTTCCTATATCCTTCTACAATTTTTTTCCAAAACTAAATTGTATTTCCATTCTAAGTACCCTGAACCAAATATTTAAAGCATCTATGCACAGTCATTGCTTCAATTTTAACTACATTTTAGAAGTTGCAACACTTCAGCTGCCAGTTTTCAGGCCAGCTGGCAATACTGCAAAAGAACACACAGCTAAATGCATAAACAGATTTTTATAAATATGACCCCTCAAAATCAGACTGCCTGTAAAAAGCTCTGCTGTTTTCAGGACTGTGCAGTTCCGCTTTGAAACTACAACAACGCAGCCAACACAACCTGATTTTACAAGTCAGCAGCAAGGAAGGTCATGTTTAAGCACAAAGACTGAATTATCTTCCCCTGAAGATGGGATGCTATCCTAAGGTCACTGCAACAATGGCAACTGGTAACCAGTTCTAAGATGAACTATTTGCATTGTCACTTATCAATTATAGTCAATATTTTGACAATCCTTTCACTAAAAACAATTTCTTACTTTGCATCTTTTCATTCTGTTGCTTTGGATTATGGTGAGGTCACCCCCTGCCTCTCCATGGGCAAGATAAGATGTGTACATTTAAATATTTGTTAGTTAAATTGTTCTTACAGGACAGTATTTTATGATTTATGCACAATATACAAGGAAACTTAAGCCACCATTTGTTACAGATCAGTTGCAGTGATGGCAGAACTCTCACTAGCATGACACCATGAGGAACCCAGTCACACCTGACACTTTTGAGCCCAATAATCTCCCAGTCCAGTAGAGAGAGGAAACTGCAGTTGTGCTTTCACATTCAGTGGTCAGCATTCCTGGATTCAGTGCTGTCTTCCTTCACTTTCCCATTCCTCTCTCATTTCTAGCCCTTTTTCAAGTGTGCACAGCTGCTTGCAGGGGTATGTGTGTTTGCAAGTCATTTTTCACCCCTTTCAGATCCCCAATCCAGTTTATTGAGTTGTACACACATTAACACTGAAACAAGGCAGGAGATGCTCTGAAGAGTTGGATGTGGGGGTTTACCAAGCTGTAGCTGAGGTTCTACCCAGGACAGGTGATCAATTTATGCCTCATCAAACTCAAAAGCTGATCACTTTTTTACTAGATACTTACAAAATAACAGACACAGAATTATTAAATATTACTCCCATTAAATTATTTTCCTTTGAAATAATTCACATTTACTTGTCCTTATTTAACAGTCAGCTAGAATCTGTTATACAGAACTTTCAAGTGGTCTATTTGCATATTTAGCAGTTTCAATTAGCAGCATGAAAAGACCCATGCCCTAAGATAATAAAATGTGCCTGATCTTGTCTCTTTAAATCTCAGACTTGAACTTATCTTTCCACTAAAACAACAATAAGCAGCAGCAGAACTCAAATGATAATGCAGATCTGTCAAATGCTAATAACAGCATTATTTTTTTTTCCAAAATTACAGGAGTTTGTGCTGTTTTACCAATTACAGAATAAAAAAATCAAATTTTAAACTCTTATACCTTTCACTTTAATATAATGGTCAACATAAATATCTTTTACATACCTGTTATACTGCAAATGCTTTTTAAAATTTTTACTTAGAAAGTCCTTGTAAAAGTCAGCCATTTCTTCTGCACTCAGCGTTGCTTTCTGACCTGAAAATAGGTTTGGTGTAACAAAGTCAAGGCAATTCTTTGGATCAAAACACTGGGTTCATATGCTAGGTCTAACTCCTTGCTCCTACAAGCTTTCTGTGTAGACCTGACCAAGTTACTATGCCTTTATCTTTCAACCTTTTAAAACTTATCTAGAGAGCACAGCAGATTAAAAATACTGATCATCTTGAAGCTGGCATAGTTCTTAAACTCCTATTACTTGTGTAAGTAATAAAGTTAATCAGCTCTTAGACTATTTAGGGAACCAGTGAGCCCCTATGAAAATGTTCATAGGTCTAGGACTATCTATCCTTTGAATAAAATAATTTCTCACAGGGCTGAAGCCTAAAGAGTACCAACAAGAGCATTTAATAACTTAATTTCCCCCCCTTAAAGCAAGTCCATAAATCTCAAAAGAACACTATCCACAATCAACATGGCATTTTCAGATGTAATTCTTTTTCTTCTATTACAGTTAATAAATTTCAAGTAACTTCAGGCAAAAAGTTTATGTTCCGAGATGTCAGACTTCCAAACAGTCTAGTAGGCAATTATTCTGAGAAGAAGCAAATACAAAAGATTGTTTTGAATATGTCACCCATAACCAGAATATAAAAGGTCCAGGAATACCTGTGGCTACAGCACAAGATGTCTAATCTTGAAAACCAGCAAATATTCTCAACTCTACCAGACAATTCCTACACAAACCCTCTGGCACAAAATGCCCCTAAAATGACAGTCAAATTTCAATGCCCCGGGGAACATGGATATGATGAGGGAAATGGAATTGCAATATTCAACTTGTTACTGTTCCAAAATGCATTTGAAGGCTCTTGAGATTGACCACAGAAATGCAAATTATCGATTGGTTCTATTTGCCATTATTGAAAAAACTAATATACCACAATGTACTAACATACTATGGAATAAATTAACTACAAAACCATTTGAAGGCTGCCAGCTTAATACTTCTAGTTAATTTGTTTCTTCATACTGGATTCAGCAAAACTTTCATTACATAGGAAAGTAAGTTTCCTTCCAACTGTTCATGTATATTTTTATTTTTACAAGCATTCACAGCTGTATTACAGAAGAGCTGACCAAAGGCATCCAGTTGATATAGATTTATTTTTAATGGAAGTATGTGGTCACTCTCTTTTACTTCTAGAGTATAAAAGCAAAACAAAAAACCCAAAAAAACCCAACAATATAAAATAAGTGGTTTTGAAACAACATAGAGTTTAATTAAAATTACTTCTCAAGCACACACTGATTACCAGAATACAAACAGAAAAGAAAAATAATGGTCTGTGACATACAGAACGTCAGAGCAGATGCTTCACTGAACTGAAGCAGATCATTATTCTGTGAACAAAGTGTTCAACCTCATACTACAATGCCCAATTCACTATTATTATGAAGGCATTTTGTTTTCATTTTCACACAATGAATTAGAGGGACAACTATTTTACAGCAACTGTGCCCAGGCAGAGACAGGCAGATAGCAGCTGCCTTACTCTCCCTCAAGGAAAAATATTGTATTCATTGGACACACCACAGACCTGAAGCCAAAGACTGTGAATTTATCCACCCAACCATAGCAGGCAAATGCTCTGCATGTTTATCTCAGCCAGCTCACTGGCTTAGGAGGTGTGAAAGTAAAAGTCCTTTCCTCCTCAGGCTACACAATTATTATATTACTGGGCTAGGATTTCAGCACATTCCCTCTGGCTGAGGGGAAGGAATTAAGGGGAGAACAGTACAACAGATGATCTGACCCCCACATACACATCTCTGGAAAGCTCCTTGCCTCTTTTATTACCACACTCCTGAAAACACTTCTAAATCCCACCCCTAAGATTTACAGAACACAAAGAGCATAAACTAACAAAACTGAAAGTTAAGCAGAATTAAGAATGCATCCTAAACTATTAACAAAGATCTCACTAACCTGATTCATCTCTCACTTCCAGACCCTTGGCTTTCAGTCTTGAATAAATAAATTCTTCTTTTTCCTAAAACATGTTTTTCCACATTAGAATGGGATGTAGTCAGTCCTTGAAGTTAACCATTGTTTTTAATTACATACCAATGCAGTGTTCAACACCCTTTGAAACAACTAGCAATACTCATTATACTTGGAAGTGTCAACTAAACACTTTACTTAGGCCAGTGAGTTAGTTAAACTGGTCACCTAGATCCTGCTACCTGCATGCATCAATTAATTAATGCAAGTGTCCTACTGATACTTATAAAACTGATTTGTGGAGTAAAGCTACAGCCAAACTTCAGTGTTGTTTGACAGAAGTCAAATTTTCAGTTTATAAAACAAACTATGGAAATGTGCTTTACTGTATGACTGAGATTTTGAGCATAGAGGAAAACATGCAGCCTAAAAAATTAAATTTATTTAGATGGAAGCACAATAATCATCTGTGTGTGAGTTTTACAGACTTAACAACAGTTCTGTTGAATTAAAAAAAAACAAGCTTAATTTTTTTCTGGGATCTTTGCAAGTTTTGAGAGGATATGATGTTCAACATCATAAAACAATGGTGAATTACTGAATTGTTAGTGTTCTTCCAAAAAATGCCACATCGGTTGGGAGATGCTAAAATCAGGAAAGACAGACTCACTTTAGCCTTGCTGGGATACACTGCCAGTGAAATGGGACATATCATTGACCCTCATTTAGTCTTGGTAATTACACAAAATTTCTCTCACTTATGACAAGAGAAAAACCAGCCATGAAATAATTTTCAACAGCTGCTCTAATCACAGAGAGGTCCTGCATGTAGAGCAGCTACACCTTTATCCTTTCAGTGCAAGATAGGAAAAAGGCAAATACTCTATGCCACCAGGCAGCAACAAAACACGTGGGATTTTTAGTTTTGTGCATCATTTAAATAAATGAACGACAAAACCGTCATTTCCTCCCAGCTCAGGGAGGCTGAGCCCCGCGGTTTTGTGGGCAGCCATGCCCAGAAGCTCAGGGAGGCCAAGCCCCCCGGTTTTGGGGGGAGCCGTGCCCAGAAGCTCAGGGAGGCTGAGCCCCCTGGTTTTGGGGGGAGCCATGCCCAGAAGCTCAGGGAGGCCGAGCCCCCCGGTTTTGGGGGAGCCGTGCCCAGAAGCACAGGGAGGCTGAGCCCCCCGGTTTTGGGGGAAGCCGTGCCCAGAAGCTCAGGGAGGCCGAGCCCCCCGGTTCCGGGCAGGCAGGTGGAGCAGCAGCAGCGGGTGCGAGGCCGCGCTCACCTGGCGGAAGGCGCGGTTGTGCCGTGCCCAGAAGCGCTGGTTGCTGGCCTGGGCCTCCTGGCGCGCCTCCCGCAGCCGCCGCTCCAGCGCCGACTCCTCGGGGGGCACGTAGAAGATGACGGGGCGCAGGTTGGAGTGCTTGTCCGGGGGCCCGATCCAGTCGCTGTGCGAGTGCGCGGGGGGGCGGAAACCCAGGCCCTGCCAAACACAGACACAATTCTGAAGAACCTCTCAATTTGGAATACGTTCCCAAATACCACAGAACCTTAAAGCACGAAAGCACAGCAAGTTCAGAAATAAAGCACATGACCAAAACCAATGGCCTACACTTACAATTCACTTTTCCTTACAAATGCACTACAGAGAAGATACCTTTAACTCTTTTACCATGGGCATAAATCATGAGGTATTTTTTTAACCTTTTTTTTTGTTGTTGTTTTCATTTTCCTACCACTGATACTCTAGAGAACCAGCAAGTATCCAAGTTTTTTGCGGCGCTGATCTCTGCCCTCTGGTGACCAGTGACAGTACCCGAGGGAACAGCATGGAGCTGTGTCGGGGGAAGTTTAGGCTGGATATTAAAGGCGCTTCACCCTGAGGTGATGGTCACTGGAAACGACTCCCCAAGGATGGGGTCACGGCCCCAAGCGTGACAAGCTCAAGGAGCTTTTGGACAACTCTCTCCGTGGTGTGATTCTTAGAGCTGCTCTGTGCAGGGCCAGGAATTGGATTTCCGTGATCCTTGTAGGGGCCTTGAAACTCAGCGTATTTTATAATTCTGCGATTCTAAGTTTTCCTCAGCCCGGCGTTCTTCCCGCACCCCTGTGCCCACACAGAGGCGTGTGCCTGCCCCAGCCGGGTTCGGAACACCTGCGTTACCAACAGCCCGGACCTCAGCGCCCCTCCAACAACCAGCACCGGGGGCCTCGACAAACACATCGAGAACCGGCGGCCGCGGGGACCGCGGTGTGCTGCCGGCCGCCCCCGCCCCGCCGGCGTTACCGGGAGGCAGCCGGAGCACCCCCCGCTCAGGGCTCCCCCGCAGGAGCTGCGCCGCCCCCCGCCGGGTTTACCACGCTGTCCGGCCGCTCCCCGCGCTCAGCCGCGCGGCCGCTGCCGGAGGAGGAAGCGGAGGAGAGGCGGCGGCGGCGGCAACAGCCACCGGCCCGCAGCACCCGGGCGGCCGCCATGGCCCGGCGCTTTACGGCGCTGCTGCGCCGGGGCTNNCCGGGCCGGGCAGCGGGTCCTCGCTGTGCGGCGGGTGAGTGAGTGAGTGACTGCGGCGGGTCGCGGGCGCCGCGCGGGTCCGCTGCGGGGCCGGTGGGGACGGGCCTCCCGCAGGTGCCTCGGCCGTGGCCCGGTGTCATTTCCTCTTCGCGCTGCGCCGGGCCCCGCCGCGGGGGAGGCGGGAGGTTGCGGCCATGGAGAGGGCGACGCGTCCTAAGAGGCAGCAAGGTATGTGCGGGGACGGAGCGCTGCCCCGCGGCTGTGGCGCCCGAGGGCCGTCGGGTTCGGCCGCTGTTCGCCCCTCGCTCCCCGTTCTCCCCTGCGCTGCGGGCGCCCTGTTTGCTCTGAGGCGGCTTCAGGTGGGCAAGGCAGGGCGGAAGGCTGGGGGTGAGCAGCCTAGGGCTGGGCGTGTGGCAGCTAAAGCGTCGCCCCTGCGGCCCGACCGGGAGAAAGGTGTAAAAAAATAAAAGGGTTGTGAAATATCAGCCAAGCGGTTTATTCGTATTGGTGAGGACACTTAAAATAGCTGTAATGCTGAAGTGCCTCAGTCTGTGAAAGTTGCAATGTGTGCTCGCGAAGCACTTAAGCAAGTCTTGTTGTCGTTTTCCTTGTAGTTCTTCTGCAGCTGGAACAGGGAAGAGGAATGGATATGGGTAACCAACACCCATCCGTAAAACGGTTACATGAAATACAGAAAGAAGTCAAAGAGATTGAACAGCAAGTGGCTGTCTTCAGCGGCGTGTCTACCGACCGAGATTACAAGAAATTGGAAAGAAACCTTACAAAGCAGCTTTTTGAGATAGATTCTGTAGACACCGAAGGGAAGGGGGATATTCAGCAAGCCAGAAAGCGAGCTGCCCAGGAAACTGAGAGGCTGCTGAAGGAACTGGAACAAAATGCAAACCATCCGTGCAGACTGGAAATAGAGGCTTTATTCAAGGAGGCACAGTCACTTGTGGAACGCAAGATCACACCTTTTTACGAAGGAGGAAACTGTATAAGTGATGAATTTGAAGAAGGAATTCAGGACATTGTGCTGAGGCTTACCCAGGTGAAAACTGGAGGGAAAGTTTCTCTACGCAAGGCAAGATACCGCGCTCTGACAAGGATATGTGCTGTCCAGGAGATTATAGAGAGTGGTGCAAAGAAACAGCTGTCCCTGCCACTCTCTAATGATGTTCATCCTTCTGTCTCCAAAATTAACTCTGTAATGTGTGAGGTGAACAAAGCCAGAGGAACTCTCATTGCCCTTCTAATGGGAGTGAGTAGTAATGATACCTGCAGGCATCTGTCCTGTGTGCTCACAGGCTTCATTGCTGATTTGGATGCTTTAGATGTCTGCGGTCGCACAGAAATAAGAAACTACAGAAAGGAAGTAGTAGAAGAGATCAATAAATTGCAGAAATACCTGGACTTGGATGAAGAAGCAAATTCTACTCATGCTTATGATTTGGCAAAAAATCAGTCTATTCTAAAAATAGAAGAGATCCGTAAGAAGATGAAGGAAGTTCGTTCCTTACTTCTAAAAGCAGAGAATGAATCTGATTTGTATCTGGGATCCAAAGCAGAGTTGCAGGGACTAATTGCCCACCTAGATGAAGTGAGTCCAGGAAAAAATCCCTGTATTAGAGAGGCCAGGAGAAGAGCAGTAATTGAGGTTCAGACTCTTATAACATATATTGATTTGAAGGAAGCACTGGAAAAAAGGCAAATGTATCCAGAGCAAACTGCTGTTGAACATCAGTCCCATAAAGCAGTTTGGACTATACTTGGAAACTTGTCTCAAATTCAGAAAGAGGTGATTTCATTTGATGGAAACAGAACAGATAAAAATTACATGAGACTGGAAGAACTTCTTACAAAACAGCTTCTAGCCCTGGATGCTGTTGATCCACAAGGTGACCAGCGGTGTAAGGCTGCCAGGAAGCAGGCAGTAAAGCTTGCACAGAATATTCTTTACTATCTGGACATGAAAACAGATGAATGGGAATACTGAAACAGCCATGGCCTGACACAGAAGGACATTTTTCCCTTTGGCACTTTATGAAGATCATTGGCAGCACATAATAAAGTATTCTGTGCCTGCTGAAATCATGGAAATTGCATAAGCAGTTGACTTGGCTATATGTCTGCTATCCCACGCAGTCACCCACTTGCCATGGCAACTGTCAGTACACCATCAGCAATTCTGGTCACTGATATAGGCAAAGAAGTGCAATTCTCTGAAGGAATAGCTTAATACTTGATCAAATAGCTTCTTTTTTTTCTTCTCTTTTTTCTTTCTTGTTTTTATTTCAATAGCCTTGTGCAGTGTTCAGTAAATGCAGGTTTTTCAAAGACACAGAAACTTCCTTATGGTACAATACTGGCAAAACTATTTAAGGAGAATGAACATGAAAATTAGTATTCAGGCATGAGGCTCCATCCAGCGACTTCACAGCAGTCTGGATGTACTGTTAGTGTGCTGTCGTGACATAAAGTACTAAAGACAAAAAGCCTGCTGGCTTTTGGATTGTACTTGATTTATTCCATCCATCATACTGTCTAGATATCTCAGTTAATGGAGCTATAATGCCAGCTGCAAATCAGCATTTACATAGGCAAATTATGTCAATTTTTGTAATACCTGAGCCCTTTGATTTGCATAACCAGGTCTTTTGTTGGTGGAAATTCTTGTAAGTTATTGCTTTAAGGTACTGAGACTTGGAGAGGAAAATCTGTATGTTTATACCAAACTGATAAAGGGGATTTTGGGGATTTCAAACTGCCATCCATAAACCCTTGAAAACTGCACTGAACTTTATTTAGTGTCTGCTTAGGTGTCTTTTTAAACTCTGCTGTTGCATCTGGTTTTCACATTTGGCGAAAACATAAACAGACTTCACTTCGAAGTGAAATGTGCATTTTGGAATTATTTTTGTAAAATTAGGCAGCCAGCTATAAAGATGTCCAAAATGATGTAAGTGTGTGCTACATGGTCAGGTGTGGCTTCGAGCACGTCTTGGAAGGACTTGTGGCAAACGTCTCTCTTTGCAACTCATTCACTTGTTTTTCACTTGGAACTTCGTAAACAAGCTTGCTCTACTGTTGTATGCACCTACCTTTTTATTTGTGGCTGCTAGTGCCAATCACATTTCTACTATTGCATGGTTTTTTGGCATTTTTTTGAGAGCATGGCATTAAAATGATTTGAGTATATATAGATATATATAAAGAATATAGATCTATATAAAGATATATTCAGTTGTGGATAATTTGCACTCAGCTCTTTCAGGATGAACTAAGGAATTAGTGTTCTATAGACGATGATTTGCACCACTTTAAGGAGTAAAAACCGTTTCAGATGTTACAATAAATATTTTTAAGATCTATTTTTGACTGATTAGAGAAGACAGTACTGTCTGTGAGAGACAAGTGCCTTTATGACACTGCTGACTTGCACCGTCATATGTAGATATAGGAACTCTTTACTGGCAGCTTGATACATTTGTAATCTTTGCAAACTGGATTTTTCAGGTATATATCTAATTCTTCTGTAGTATATGTCAAGCTAACATAATACAATAGGTGACAGTTGCCCTATAGAGTCCTGAGAATGAGTATCACACTTGGTGTGGAGGTGGGGGACTTCGGGCAGGTCTTCTGTGCCTATTGCTGCAAGAATAATATGTTTGTTCATAACATACTATGAGATGTTGATTGAAGGCTGCATACCTTCAGAGTGTGAATAGATTTTGTTTGTGATTGTGCAGGTGATTGCTTTGCAAATGTACTTGCCAAAACCGACGTAATTGAGTACAGTGCCTAAGGCACAATTTGGCAATGACAGAATGTTTGTTGGAGGATTCTTCCTGCTCCTTCAGAGACACAACCCCATGGAATTTAACTCTCCTTCACTTAAAAAAAATTTAAAAAAAAAAATCCCCTAATTAAAATTCCAATCTCTGTTTGAATATTATGTGGCTAACACAGAATATTAATAGTGTTATACACCTGAATTATTTTACTCATTTCAAGTTCTCTACATGTTTGAATTGCAACTTGTGATTTGCACTTACATTTTTAGGAGAGATAAGGATTTGATATTGTAATGATATTAACAATTTTTCTTTAGTATTACTGTCAGGTCTGCAGTGGTTACTTGTAGTTTGTTTAAACAGTTTAGTGTCTGTGTTCCCTGGCAGATACGTGTAGTTTTATAAGCGTTTGAGCCTCTTATGTAAAAATGAGTAAGTATAGTTATCAGATCTGTTCTATTTTAAATGTGTCTTTTAATTTTCCTGAATGGAATGTTATGCCTGCACCTCTAAGAATGCAAATGTGTAAGGATAGTGTAATTTGACTGAATAGAGTCCAGTAGCAAGATATTATGTGGATTAAGCTTTTTTCCTTTGTTCTGTACTCTGATAAATTGACTGTTTAAATTTTGTGGTAAAATCCTCATCTGGAATGGGTTTAATTCACAGTTTTTGCATGAATGAAAGTAATAAAATATATGTGCTTAACAAAAAAAAAAAGGCAAAACAAATCCCAAAAAACCAAAAAAAGAAATGCACAGGTTTCTCAAAAATTTGCTTTTATGCTGAATGTAATTTCTCTGTTTTTCATATCCAAAGATTGAGAGGGACACAATTTTTCTTTCCAATACAGCAGGCTAAAATAATCAACAAAATGTAAATGGACCAAATGGCAAAAGCCTGCATTTTAGTACTATACTAAAATAGAATAACTTTTCTGTGTGCTGCGTTATGTACCTTAGAGCAAAATAATCGAGTGGATATTTTGGGGGAGAGGTAATCCTGCATCGTGTTTCCTATTTGTTAACCAAATTTCCTTTTAAACTGGCTTTCTTTAGTTACTTCAGTATTTATTTTTTGTTGTTTGCCACTGAGAGTGGTTTTTCTGTGATCTTTCTGGATTTCTATATCACAGAAATCCAAATCTTTGGAGAAGATTTTTGTTAAGTACAATTCTTATCTTTTAAACTTAACAGAAGTCAGTGTCTGTGCTCCTAATGGTGTACCTGTCTTCAGTTATTGCTGTGTAGGAGTTGACATTTGTGTTCACAGATCCAAGATTAAACATTGCAGTGTTAAATTCTTGATTATTAATACAAATACATTACCACTTTTACTAGGTATTCATTTGAATGTTACGCCCTGATGCCTTTCTC